TAATTTGCTCCATTGCAATCCCCAGTCCTTCCCCTTTCCCTCCCTTCCTCTCTCCCCAGTTCCCTTCTTTAACTCTATTGGTCTTCCTCTATTGGTTTATCATTTGTTATTGGTGCTTGGTAGATGTCCATAAAGGCGGAGCTCACTGTGGTGCATTCATGGATGTATGCAGCATAACTTGGTCAATCTCATTCTGCCAGAACAGAGACTTTTGTCTGTTTTGTCATCCACTTCTATAATCCCATATTTAGAACTGAATCTAGCACATAGTAAGTGTTTGATTAACATGAATAACACATGAAAGGCCTTACTCAGTATAGCATGAGGCACGTGGTACTTGCTCAATAAGTGTATGTTCTTTTCCCTGAAATGATGTCAAAGGAAACTGAGTTTTAGAAAGAGAAAATGAGTCCATCTGCTATGATATGGATTTTTTTTTCTTGGTCCTGGGGATTGAACCCAGAAGTGCTTAACCACCGAGCCACATCCCAGCCCATTTTCTTTCTTTCTTTATTTTGAGGCAGGGTCTTGCTAAGTTGCTGACAGCCTTACTCATTTGCTGAGCCTGACCTTCTACTTGTGATCCTCCTGCCTCAGCCTCCTGAGCTGCTGGGATTTTGGGTGTGCACCACTGGGCCTGGCTATGATCTGAATCTTAAGTGTCTCACAAAGTCCATGTGGTGAAAGCTTGGTCCCCGGGGTGGCTCTGTTGGGAAGTGGCAGAACCTTTAAGAAGTGCGGCCTGATGGGAGGTCTTCCAGTCATTGGGGGTGTGCCCTCAAAGGGGCTCATGGAAGGCCCATCTCTTCTCCTTCTGTCTTCCACTTCCCTGACATGAGGTGTGCAGTGTTGCGCCACCAGGCTCTCCACCGTGATGTGCCATTCCAGGCCCAAGGCAATGGGCCAGCTGATCCCAGACCAAAACCTGCAAAACAAGAGCCAAAACAAGGCTTCCCCTCCCCCTTCCTTTATTTATTTATTTTTGATACCAGGGATTGAACCCAAAGGTGCTTAACCACTGAGGCACTTCCCCACCCCTTTATATATATATATATTTTAATTTTGAGAGAGAGTCTTGCTAAATTGTGTGGAGCCTTGCTAAATTGTTAAGGCTGCTTTGAATTTGTGATCCTCCTGCCTAAGCCTCCCCAGTGGCTGGCATTACAGGCATGGCCACTGCACCTGGCCCCTTCCTTTTTTATTTTGCAGACCTGGGGATAGAACCTGGGGGGCTATTCTGCTGAGCCACATCCCTCGTCCTTTCTATTTTTTATTTGGAGACACAGTCTCCCTAAGTTGCCAAGGTTGGCCTGGAACCTGTGACCCTCTTGCCTCAATCTCTTGAGTGTCTGGGATGACAGGCATGTGCTAAGACTTTTCTCATAAGTAGATTGTCTCAGGTGTTTGTTATAGTGATGGCAAGCTGACTAATTCATGCTGCATGTTGGTTAGCTAAGCCTCCTAAATCTCAGCCACATTATCGTGGGATATAAGAATATGGACAGGAAAGCAGATGTTAATTATCCCCATCAAATACAATTAACACTCAGTGCCTGGGTAGCTGCTGTTAAAAATGCCAACTCTTGTTGGTAGCTGTAATGTTGTGTACAGTTCTTTTTGTGGCATGATCCCAAGAGAGCCATGTCCTTTGACCCAGTGACTGCACTTGTGGAAAGTGATCCTAGGAACATAATTTAAAGAAAGTAAAAACACAAAATAGAAAAAAAAAACCCCACAAAATAGTTAGCAAGATTTAATCCATTATATATTTTTTATACCCACTCCCTGATCTCTTCTTTGAATGCATGGAAAGTCATATGTACATAAGTGCATCTATATTGTCTAGCTATTGCTTTGTAACAAATTACCCCAGAACTCAGCGGCTTACAATGACATTTATCGTCTCATCCAGTTTCTGAGCACCAGGAATTCAGGAGCCGCTTAGTAGGGTGTTCCAGTGTTTGAAGTATAAGGATATAAAGTTCAGGATTTGGGTATTGGCAGCCAGTGAGAGGGTCTGCAGTGTTTGGATTATCCAGGGTGTCTCACAAGGCTGCAATCTGGATCTTCTTCCTGTCTATCTATCTATCAATCAATCATCTATTTTCTATCATCTATCAATTATCTCTTTCTATATTCTGAATTTTCTATTTTTTTCCTACAGTGAATTTGTATAATTCATTGTTGTGGGTTAAATTATATACCCTCAAAAGAAGTGTTCAAGTCCAAGTGCACTTACGTAGCTATAGGCTGGGGTTCCCCACTGTATGGGCTTCTCCATGAGGCTCAGGACCTGACGGCTGTCTTCTTTCAGAGTAAACGACATGAGAGCGAGGCAGGGAGAGTCCAAGATGGTAGCCGCATTGTCTTAACCTTGAGACTGTGCAGTTGTCACTCAGAACCCCTGGAGAATCAGTTCCAGAAGCCCCTGCATGTACCAAAATTAGTGCATGCTCAAGTTTTTATATAGAATTGTGGATTATTTGCATAGAATTTCTGTACATGCTCCTTAAACATGAAACCATCTCTCAATGACTTATAACATCTAGCACAATGTAAGTGCTATGTAGGTAGTTGAAATACTGTCTTGCCTAGGGATACCAACCAAAAAAATATTCATGTATGTTAGATTCAGATGCAATTTTCCTGAATATCTCCATCTAAGGTTGGTTGAGTCCATGGATGCAAAACATGGATATAGAGAGACAACTGTAGTCCTATCACAATGCATTTATGTACTGATTATGTATCTATCAATCATTAATCTATTTCTATATAGATTATAAATTTTTTATTGCTTTCTACAATGAATTCAAATTACTTGCTGTTGTGGGTGGAACTGTATGCCCCAAAAGAAGTTCTGAAGGTCTAAGCTCTGGAACCTTGGAATGTCACTGTATTTGGAAAAGAGGGTCTTTGTAGATGTAATCAAGATAAAGTGAGTTCACCATGGAGGGGGGTGGGGGGCTCCAATCTAGTGACAGCATCATTACAAGAAGAGGAGAATTTAGACACAGAAACGCAGACGTGAGGGAGAGGGCCACGGGAGGGCAGGCAGGTCTGGGAGTGATACCTCCCTAAGCCAAGGAGCACCAAGGACTGCAGTCTGCCAGAAAACTGTGGGGAGAATGTCCCCAGCCAAGGTCTTGCTTTCAGACTCCCAGCCTCCTGAATTGTCACAGATGAATTTCTGTTTTATTCACAGTAGCCAAATGGTAGGGGGTCCATTGATGGATGAAGGGATGCATACTGTGTGGTCCACTCACACAGCTGAGTAGTATTCAGCCCGAAAAAGGAAGGGTTTTGAAATACGTTACTTTGTGATTGACCTTGAGGACACTGTGCTCAGGGAAATGAGCCGGACACAGAAGGCCACATCACGCACACTGCAGGATCCACCCACAGGAGGACCCTGGAGTTGAGATCCATGGAGACAGGGAGTTGGGGAGAAGCTAGAAGTTAGTGTTGAAGGAGCGAGAGCTTCAGTTTGGGGAGATGGGAAGTTCTGGAAATGGATGGTGGGGACAGCTGCAGAGCATTGTGAGAGCACTTAATGCCACTGGATTGTGAACTTAAACTTGGTAAATAGAGAAAGCTTTATTTTTAAAGTTATTATTATTATTTTGGTACTAGGGATTGAATCCAGGGGCATTTAACCACTGAATCACATCCCCAGCCCTTTTTATATTTTGAGACAGGGTCTTGCTAAGTTGCCTAGGGCCTCACTAAGTTTCTGAGGCTGGCTTTAAACTTGGGATCCTCCTGCCTCAGCTTCCTAAGCCACTGGGATTACAGGCATGTGCCCCTGCACCTGGCAAGATGGTACGCTTTATGTCATGTATATTTTATCACAATAAACATTTTTTAACAAATTTTATTTTTTAAACCACTTGGTTTGTGGTAATATGACAGAAAACGAATGCACATGTAGAATCAAAAAAGAAAACAGAAAAATAGAAGAGGCCATGAGGTAGACTCCCTCCCTGCTACTGCTTCACAGACGGGTAGAAACCGAGGCTCGAGTCTGAGTCACACAGTCCCTTGGAGCTGTGTGCGCATGAGATGAGAAACAGTCCCATGTCCCTTCCCTCTGGGTAGATGGGGTCCCACATCCACCCACCTCTTTTCAGAAAAGAAAATACAATGAAAGAGCTTAGAAAATTTATTCCTTTTGTTCTGTTCCTTTGAAATAACACACAGGCAGGGAGGGGGCACGTGCCGTGGAGGGAGGTGGAAGCCGGGAGGGATGGTCCTCCAGGCCCCAACACCCCAGTCCTCTTTCACAGTCCCTTAGTGGGGTTCCCCAGGCACCAGGTATCAGTGGAGAGGGGCCCCATCATCCTAAGCTCAGAATCCAACAATAAAGTGCAGGAGGGATGGGAAGGGGGAGTTGGGGGCTTGGGTTTGGGGGTGGGGGTTTGCTCCTCTCTCTGATAGAAAAATAGACCTGGAGTGAGTTTGGGGATTTGGGTTTTTGTTTGGTTTTGTATAATTGGATGCTCGAGTGTAGGGAAGGGTGGTCGATGAGGATTTGTTCCTGGCTCGCAAATCTTTGAAGCCCTGGAAGGGCTGGCAGTGCTAGGACGGGGGACCCCCCGAAAGTCTCTGGTCTCAGACCGCCTGTTTGCCAGTCCCCAAGAACAAGAGGCCGGGCCCTCCAGAGGACTTAGGCTCTGGGGTTATGAGCTGATCAGGTGTGGGGGGGTGCTGCAGGGTGGGGTGGGGTGGTCTGAGGGAGCAATATCCCCACAGGGCCAAGAGGGGTGTCCATGCTGGGTGGGGGGTCAAGCATCCATGCAGTCACAGGAGACACATCTCCCCTCTTGCTGCCTGGCCATGAGCTACATGAAGACATGGGACAGAGCCCCTGGGTTCTCTGGTGCTGGCAGCTGGGCCTCCCCAGGTCTCCCTGGTCTGTGTGATCCTGAGCCATGGTAAGCTGCAGTGTGTCTCTGGGATGGGGACACATGGGATCATGGTGCTGTGATTGGCCTTTTGGGATCTAGACTGGGGGTCTGAGCATTTGGGAGGTAGGGGTCCAGGGCGTGGGATCCAGTGCTGGCAGGACTGGGCGTGGGGACTGTCTGGAATCTGGACTCCAGCAGCTGCACCTGCCAGGACCCACTTGCTGTGCTGTTGTGCCCACATTTGTGGTTTTAGGAGCCAGAATCCAGTGGGTTGGGACTTGGGAATCCAAGATCCAGTGGTAAGGGGCAGAGGGCACAGTGCTTGAAATGTAGGGGTCCAGCCGTCGAAGCAGAAGGATCTGGGACCCAGTGTCAAGGTAAAGGAATCAGAATCCAGTGGCTGGGGTGAGGGGATCTGGGTCCAGTGGTGGGGGGCCCCAGGATCTAGGCATTGCACTGTCAGGATCCGGTGGCTGAGGTCTCTTGACATCCAGAATCCAGCGGCTGAGCTTGGAGACGGGGCTTGAGGCATGGCGATCTGTGATTCGCCAGTGGGGTTGGGGATCTGGGACCCAGTGCTACACAAGGACACTGGATCTGATACCTGAGGGAGCTGGGGTCAGGGTGATGAGGTATAGGGATGTCCATTCCTGTGGTTGGGGATTGGGATCCATTCACCACGTTGTGGGGGATCTAGGTCCAGGACCCAGTGGGTGGGGCAGGGAAACATAGGATCCACTTTGGGAGCATAGGAATGCAGGATCTAGGGGTCTGGGAAGGAGGGAATGAAGGGCTGAGGTGTTGATCATTCTGGATCTTGTGGTTCAGGTATGAGATTTAGGTTGCTGAAGTGTGGGATCCAGCAGTTGGGGGTACAGGGATCTGAGATCTAGAGTTGGAGTATTGGGATCCATGGTCAAAGTGTGGGCACCCTGTGATTCAGTGATTGGGGTCTGGGGGTGGAGGATCAGGGATTCGGGTACTGGGATCCTGTGGCTGGTGTGTAGGGATCAGTGGTTTAGGCAGGGGAACTAGGATCCATTGATTGGGCCACTGGTCTCCTGTGGCCAAGGACATCAATCTGGGGAACATCAGGACTGGGGTGACGGATCTTGGGGGAGGGATGGGCTCTGGGTCCCTCACCTGGACGTGACCCCCAGGGCCTGCTTCATGTTCTCGTAGACCACATAGGAGATGCTCACAGCTGGAATGACCTTCATGAAGTTGGGGGCAATGCCCCGGTAGAGGCCCCACACTCCCTCCTGGGACAGGATGTGACGGAGCAGACTCATCATGGAGAGCTGCGGGGAGCCCTCGATGGAGGCTGGGAGGGGGTAGGGGACCAGGTGAGGCTGAAGCTCCTCCTTCCCTTCTCCCTCTTACCCCTCAGGGCTGGGCCAGGTGGCCACTGCCACAGGAAGGAGAGGCTAGACTAGAAGTTGGACCTACCACTGAATCAGGACTTTGTAGTGCCCCCCACAGTGCTGGGAGGGAACCAGGGCATTGTGCCTGCTAGGCAAGCACTCTCCCACTGAGCAACGCCCTGGCCAGAGTCAGGACTTCTGTGGTACTTGAAATTGGCTGTCAATCTTGAGGGCCCAAATTTGGGGATAAATTGAAATGGAGTGGGTGTGCAGTATGTGTGGTGGGAGGAGCTACAAATGTCCCCGTCCTGGAAGTCAACGCCCTTCTCTTCTGGCTAACTCCTAGTCATCTTCCCAACCTCTATTCCAAAGCCAGCTCTTAAGGGGGCCCTCCCTGGCACCCCTGTCCAAGTCAGGATCCTCTTCCTCCCCTTATTCAACCCTTAACCAAAGGTTAATTATGGAATGATTTATTCAGCATCTTTCTTCCTCTCCAGCCTGAACTCCATGAAGGCGGGGACCATGTCTGTCTCATTCACTCATACCTCCCTGGTATCACAAAATACAATTGCTAAATTCCCAAGGAAATGCTTAAAACAGATTCAGGGACGGGGAAAAGAATCCATAAAAGAAAATCTCAGAGAAAAACAACCACCAGCCTGATCCTGAATTTCCTTAACCCAGGTTCTTAGCCTCTCCCCGACCTGGCCTTGCTATAACTCAGCCTTGCAAATAGGGGCTCAAGTTACCAGCCCAGAAAGGCTCCACAATGGCCAGTAGCAGCCTCTGGCTACCATTGCCAGGGAGCTTTGCCAGAACTCTTGCATCTGTTCTGCTAGTTAATCCTCAGTTTCTTGTGGATAAAGGAAAAGTCACCAGTGAGTAAACTGAGGCCCAGAGAAGGGGCAGGACTTATCAAGGCCATTCAAATCCAGGAGGACTCCGGCCTAGGACTCCACCTGTGAGGAGCTGGGGAAGAGAAGGTGGACCCCAGCTGGCCACTCCCCTGCTCCATCCTCCCACCCAGGCCTCACCTTGGGCCTGCATGCGGGTCCGGACCAGGGCCAGGGGATAACTGGCTATCTGGCCACAGGTGCTGGAGATGGTACCGCAGGCCAGGAGCACGAGGATCCCTGGGTTTGCCGATTCCTGGCTATATTGCTGGAGCCAGTGGTTCTTCAGGGTCTGGAGTAGAGAAAGGAGTAGGGTGGGTTGGGAGGAGCAGAGACCAGGACCCTGGTTCCACAGACCTGGTGGCCAACTTGGTGTCCCCTGGCAGTTGGTGCCAGCTGAGTGCACAGTGCATCCTGGGCTCTGCAGGCACTTGAGCTGCATGCCTTCACTTAACCCCCACGGAGGACCTCTGTGACAAGGAATCAGAGTCCCTGTGCTCTGCATGCACTGGTCCCTGGAACCAGTTATCTTCCGTGGCACACAGGACTTCACTAAATTAAGGCCAAGGATTTTGAGATAGGAAATATCCTGGCTTTCCTGTCTGGGTTCACTATCATCACAAGGATCCTTATCAAGAGTCAAAAGGTGGGGTGGGTGTAGCTAGGCTCTGGGTTCCATTCTCAGCACCGAATAACAAAGAAAACCAGAGTCAAAAAAGGAGATGTGAAGCTGGGTGTGGCACACACCTATAATCCCATATACTTAGGCCTGAGGCGGGACAGACATCCCAAGTGTGAGGTCAGCAATTTAGGCCTTGTCTCAAAATTTAAAAAGGGTGAGGGTGCGGTAGTTAGGGAGCACTTGCCCAGCATACACAAGGTCCAGGGTTCTGCTCCCAGTTAAAAACAAAAAGAGATAATGAAGACAAAAGCCGAGACTGGTTGGTGGATTAGAAGATTCCACAATTCCTCTGAATGTGGAGGGAGGGGCCACATGAGCCGCGGGAATCATGGAAAGTTGCAAAAGGCAGAGAAACGATTCTTCACAGCCTCTGAAAAGGAGGCGGCCACATTTCATAAAGCCCAGCAGGACTCACATTTTGAACTTCTGACCTTCCTAATTGTAAGATAATAAATTTGTGTTGTTTTAAGCCACTAGGTTTGTGGCAGTTTGTTTTAGCCACAGGAAATGAATATGAACCGAGCACACCCTCCAAGGTGGGTGTCCTCCCTTCTCCTTTATTGCTTTGGTTCAGACCTCCTGAGGGCTGCCTGCCAGCACCCATGGAGCTGCCCCCGGACCTTCTCTGCACCCACATCAGGATGCTCTGAGCACTAGGAACTGGAGGCAAGTGCGGGGAACCTGCACCCCCAGAAGCAGCCATCAAAGCTCTGGCTGGGCGTGTCAGTGCTCCAGCCCCCACCCTTCTGGGGGGCATTTTCTGGCTCTTCGGCCAGAGGACCCCAGAGGGACTGAGCTGTGCTTGCCAAGAGTGGCAACTTGCCTGGTAACACACCATTATGAACCGTGGACCCCCACCCACAGGATATGTGCCTATCTTTTTTTTTTGTCTTCCTGCAGTACTGGGGATGGAATCCGGGGCCACACAGACCATGCAAGCACTGGCCCCTGAGCCACACACCAGCCCTTGTCCTTTTACTTTGAGACAAGGTCTTGCTAAGTTGCCGAGGCTGCTCTAGCACTTGCAATCCTCCTGCCTCAGCCTGCCAAGTAGCTGGGATGACAGGCAGGTATCACTGCACCTGGCTGTGTTGGCATCTTAGGACATGGTCTTTGCAAATAGGGTCTTTGCAGATGTAACTGGCAAAGATGAGTAGGGCGAACTCTCGGTGCAGTAAAAGGAGAGACGCAGAGATACCCAAGTTCGAGAAAGCCAGTGACGGGAGGCAGAGGCTCACTTCAGTCAAGGAATGCTGCTGGGCTCCTGGAACCTCAGCTGCTTGGGAGGCTGAGCCGGGAGCATGGCTTGAGCTCAGGAGTTTGAGGCACTTGGGGTGACACAGTGTGACCTTGGGACTGGTGTCAAAAGACAGACAAAAACAAAAGGAATGTCAGCAGTGGTGAGGAGCAGACGCTGGAGGCGGCACCGGGACGCCCTCCGACAGGTCTCAGGGGAGTGAGGCTCTGGACACTCGAATTTGGGCTTCTGACCTCCAGAGCTGGGAGACTGTCCCTTCTGACTGCTCTAACTAGCCAGCTGGGGATACTTTGTTGCAGCAGCCCTGGGAAATAGACACACATGCCTTATCCCCTGCCTGGCCTTCCTACCACCCTGCCCTCACGTCCCTGTCTCTGCAGCTGCTCTCAGATCTCCGGTGAAGACAATTGATCCTACTAACTGCATTTGGTAGAGGAGAAACTAAGGCTCAGGGAAGTTACTTGCTCCAAGCTACAAAATCAAGGTAAGACTCAACATTCAGAGCCAGGACTCCAGAGCTGTGTGTCTAGTCTTTAGGGTGGCTAATCCCTTCTGAAGCTGCTGCCAAAGCCTTGGTATCTTTTTTTTTTTTTGGGTGGGGGTGGGAGGGTGAGAGGAGGGTTCCTGGGGATTAAAACCAGGGCCTGGTGCCTGCTAGTCAGCCACTCCCTCACTTCCCTGCCAAGGACTTTGTTAGGATAAGACCTTTTGTGCCTTGTCACTAGGGTGGCTTGTAGGTTTCATTTCCTGTGTCAGCTTTAATTCATTGGTAAATGTCTGCCTGGAACCAGAGGTGTTCGGAGGGGGACTCAATGCTGGCATAGATTAGTAATGTCTGGTCCAGGTGGAGATTAGAAAACACAGGCAAGCGTTTACTGTCTTTGCAAATAAATTAATTAAATAAAAAATAACATGTAGCTATTTTATTTGTTTTGTATTGAGGCGGGAGTCTCACAGGCTTTTTATGTTGCCTAGGGTGGTCTCCAGCTCTGGGCTGAAGTGCTCATCCTACTTTTGCCTCCCAAGTAGCTAGGAGTACAGATGCTGGCCTTCTCACCAGGCCCGCCTTTGCCATTTTAATAGTCTTCTTAAGGTTCAGACCCTCATTTGTCAAATAGACGTTAACTGAGTTCTTAAGAGCTGTTCTGGAGCTGGGGTGCAGCTCAGTGGCAGAGCACTTCCCGAGCATGTGCAAGGCCCTGGGTTCCATCCCCAGCTCAGGGGTGGGGGCGAAGTGGGAGAGGGGCAATGTGTCGAGGAGGTTCTGAAATAATTGTTCCATCACTTTACTGCAGGACTCGTCAGAGCCTTTAAGGACTAACTAAGGGCACAGGGCTTCTTAAGCTTCTTAGCCACATGAACTCCCTTTTTTGGGAGAAAAATGTGTTAAACAGGGTCAGATCCTATTTCTGCTCACAAACCTCCATGGCTTCCCACTGCACTTAGGAAAACCCGACCCCTCACCAGGGAGTCTGGCTGACCTTTCTGAGCTCACCTCCTGATCTGCCCAGTTCCCTGTGCTGTCAAGACCGGGGCCCTCTAGCAGGTCAGGTTGGTTCCTGGTTTGTCTTGCTGGGCCCCTGCTGCGCTCCCACTTCTTACCGATGTCATGTCACTGGGCTCCAGTGCCACCAGCCCAAAGGTGTCCCCCACCTCCAGCCCACCACTGCCGACGACGACAAACCCTGTCTTCCAACTTCTGGGAGCTTCGTGGGGGCTGAGACTCTTATTTGTGGGGTGATGGGCTTCCGAGTTCGCTGGGATGAGTGTCCCAGGAGGGCAGGGGTTATGGAGGGCTCATTCTGCACCCTGAGGCAGCGAGCACCCAGGCCAGGCGCACGGCAGGTGCTCACTGGACAGAGGCTAAGTGGACGTGTGGAGGGACAGAGGAACGAGTGGAGGTCTGAACACACAGTGTGTGAACAGGGCCTGTCTCCTTCCCGTGTCCTGATGCTGGGAGCTGGGGAACGTGGGTATGTATGGCAGGAACAGATTCAGACCAGGAAGGATGACATAGTTTGTGGGATTCAGTGCAAAACAAAACACAGGGTCTTTTACAAAGAAAAATCACTGAGAATTTCCAGATGACCTAAGCAGAGAATCGCTCAGTGTGGGCACCTCTGAGCACAGGACCCTTGGTGACTGCTCTCACACTCAGGGAGCTGGCCTGTCTTGGATAGAAAGGTTTGAGGAGGCCAGGCACCAGGCACTGTGGTGGACACCTGTCATCCCAGCAACTTGGGAGGCTGAGGCAGGAGGATCACGAGTTCAAAGCCAGCCTCGGCAACTTAGTGAGGCCCTAAGCATCTTAGCAAGATCCTGTCTCAAAATAAAAACATAAAAAGGGCTGGGGATGTGGCTCAGTGGTTAAGCGCCCCTGGGCTCAATCCCCAGTACCAAAAACAAACAAACATACAAGCAAGCGAACAAACAAAAACTGGGAGGATTCCAGGGGATCTACAGCTGTGCTGATTGGAGGACTTGATGACCCCACCAGGAGGAGGCTAAAGCAACACATGAGACCCACAAGGAGAGACAGCAAAGACTCCCCACTCCCGCGTCCCTTGATGAAGGGCCCAAGGTGCTGGTTGCGGGGCTTGGTTTCTCTAGTGACGGTAGATGCTGAGATGCGCAGGCCCTGAAGAATTCATCAGCCTAGGGACAGAGCCTGGGGCTGGTCCATGCTTTGGGGGAGATGCACACCTTGAGGCTCATCTTTGCCTGCTCTCAGGATTCTTGTGAGCTAGAGTGGCCCCCGACTCCCAGGTGACCACAGAGGGCTGAACTGTAAGTCAAACTTTCTTGCAGCAGTTCATGGCCAGCACATGGAGGGGTTCCCCAGGGTTCCACGCCCATGGTGCTCCTCACCCCATGATTGTCCTTCTCTAGGACAATGGGGAGGTTGACTGAAGGGTGTCCTGTGGGCAAATCACAGAGGGCAGAGGGGCGGGGGCTGCCACAGACCTCATAGACGGCCAGATCGATGCCCGCGTAGGGAATGATGCCCAGCACGTTGGGCAGGTAGCCTCGGTAGAAGGCGCGGGGCCCTTCTTGCTCCAGGATCCGCAGTGCACAGTCCAGCAGCCCCTTGTACTGACCAGTCCGGCGCAGGGTCAGCCGTGTTTTCAGCACCTGGGAAAACTCGGTTATCCCTGGAAAAGCTGGTCCTACCCCCTGCCCAAGGTGTCACATCCAGGGATGAAGACCTAGAAACAGTTCTCCCAGAAGCAGACCCACCAACTAGAGTGACCTGTGGCAGCCACCACTGACTGTCCCCTAACATCTAGTTCCCGTCTTCCTGAATAACAGAAAGATAACTTTGGCAAGCACATAACCACTAGAGATAAAAACTACACTTCCTGCCTGCCTTAGTGGCCACATTACCAGGTCCTACACCACGAAACAGAAGGAAAAAGGGGCTGGGTCATGGCTCAGTGGTAGAGCGCTTGCCTGGCACGTGTGAAGCACTGGGTTTGATCCTCAGTACCACATACAAATAAATAAATAAAACAAACTTAAAAAAAAAAGAAAGAAAAATAGAAGTAAAAAGAGCTAAGAGCTATGCATGACTTTCAGAGGATGGTGTTCCCTCCTTTGTGGGTTAGTCCTTCTTTCCTGGAACTGAAATGTATGAGCAGAGCACAAGCAGCCATGTTGATCCATGAGGTGAGTGCTACCTGCCATGTTAGTGGAACAACAAGGTAGACAGAAGGACCTGGGTCTCTATTGCTCTGAAGCCACCCTTCCAGGCCTGACCTATCGTCTCAAGACTTCATTCATGTTATTTGAATTTCCCGCCATTTTCAGAATCTTAATGATATACAACCTGAAACCTGAAATGATTTATCTCAAAGTAGTGATGCTTAGAGAGGACACTCCCTGGGAACAAGCATTCTGTCCTCGGCGAGGCATAGCCCTGAACGGCTGAATGCCTGCCTACTGTCCAGTCTAACCAGCGCCGTGGTCCTAGACGTCCTGGCTGAGACTGTAGCACTAGGTAAGCCAGGCAAGTGATGGTGCTGCTGTCAGGAGCCGGGGTCCCTGACCAGGGAGCGGCAGTTGCCATCCCCGTGCATGGTGTGGAGTGAGGAGGGAGATCGCCAGGACTCTGCTCCCAGAGACCTCACCTCCATGGGGTAGATGATGGTCTGGGCTGTGGCACCAGCCAGGGAGCCAGCCACGAAGCGCTCCTGCACCTGCAGCGTCTCCTGCCGTCCCCGGATGGCGTTCTTGATCTGAGGGAGGCAGACACGGGGGGGGGGGGGGGCAGACCCTCAGGGGTGGGGCCTTTCAGGGCTCTACTGTCCCCTGGCTGCCACAGAACTGGACTGCTGTGGGCATTGTGCAGGGGCCCCAACCATCCCCCACTCACAGGCCAACCCGCAGGTCCTCATATTTACCCCAGGCTTCCCCACCAAGCACACCCTTCCCTACACCTGCCCTCACCTGCTCATAGGCCATGAACTTGATGGCTGACTCAGGGGCGATCTTGAGTACATTGATACCATTACCACGCCACAGGGAGAGGATGCCCCCCTCTTGGATCATGCTCCGCAGACCCCCAAGGATGTTGAGTCTGTTGGTCTTTGAGGCGTGAACCTGAGCAGGGAGAAATGGCAGCCTTGAGATTCCCTCCTAGGTCCTGGGCCTGGGGGAGCAGGCAAGTCCCTCTGGGGTCCCTCACCTGCATGAAGACCTTGAGGCGGTCCAGAGGAGCTGTGCCTGTCCGCGACACCGCGCCTGCCACTGCACCAGCCACCAGCTGCTTCCACCACATGCCCGTCAGCTTCTCCTGCTTTGAGAACTCATCTGGCACTGTCAGGCATTCGCCAATGTCCAGAACCTGAGGACACGGAGGGGTGTCACGTCATGATGGCATGTTACAGTGGAGGTAGGGAGAAGCACTCCAGTCCTTGGTTGGGGAGTCTCCTCCATGAATCCCAGGGCACCCCAGGGAGCCCATCAGTGGATCTTGCTTGGAATGCACAGAAGAACACTCTTGGATCCCACCAGGTGCCATCAAAACCCCCAACCCAGTGAGTGGCTAAAGGATCTACTGAATCCCGCCTAAGGAGCCACAAAATTCCACAGGAAGTTTGTCCAATTCCCATCAGACGATCCCATCCAAGCATTTGCCACATAAAGATCTCCAGAGCTATCAGATCCCACTAAAGGATCTCCTTAAAGGGCCTCCCATGGAAAGATTCCAGAAGATTCCTCTAGTAATACACAACATCCCACCAGGAACTTCTCCTGTGCAGACCCCAGCAGATCCCTCGGGTGCCTCCTAAGGTCTCTGAGATCTCCTCCAGAGGAACTGTCCCCCAGAAGCCATCGTCCCTTTAGAGCCCACTGAGAGAATTGATTCCTTCCTACTTCCTTCCAGTGGATCTCACTGGACCCCCCACCCAAAGCCATGGGCTTTCTGGCTCTTCAGGTCAGTAGCAGAATCCATTATTCAGGCGGAGAGAATCTGGCAGAGAGGGAGCTGTGTGGGTTGAGGGTGGGAGGCTGGAACCCCATCTGGTGAGTTCTTTCTTCCCTGTAGCCTCCAACCCTTCAATCAGGCCCCTGATTGAAGCCCAAGAAAGTCTGAAGGGCTTCGATCAGACAGCAGAGACACCCCAGGCTGCTGGACCCCAAATGAAGGAAGAAAGGAACACAGCTTCACCCCCCAGCTGCCTCCATCTCACAAGTCCTGGCTCAGCCCTTCCCAGCCCTAAGCAGCCTGCAGCCAGCCCACCAGGGAGGAGGCATGGCCCCCACCTCACCGTGGAATGCTTCCAGAAATAGAGCACGTCCTCCACGTTTTCCAGAGAATGCAATAGAAAGTGGTCACGCCATTCCTGCCAGTCGATGGTCATGGTGCCGTCGCGGTCCATGCTGGAGTTGGGGTGGGGACAATCTCAGTGTCTGGCTCTGGGGAGAGGTGCTGCCAGGTTTTGCAAGTCTGGGGCACACTGAGAGCTGCCCACGTTTCTCGGACTGTTCTAATCACACTACAGGGCTGTCTGGTGTTGGTCCTCCATACCAAGCCTACTGGGTACTCCCATGATTACCCTTAACTTGCAGAGGGAGAGCCTGAGGCTCAGAGATTCAAGGAACTGGCTCAAGATCTGTCTGACTCCAAAGCCCAACTCAGCTCTACCCTCTCTGGAACTGGGCCTGGGGCCCAGAATATGGAGGTGACTGAGGAGTCCCAGGGGCCTGAGTTTCTGGGATTTCTGGGGCCCAGGATTCTGAACCTCCAGTGACTTACCTGTGTAGGATTTTTTCTGCCTGCTCCAGTGAGATGGAAATGCCCAGAGCTCGAAAACTCTGCTGAATCTCAGAGACATCAATGTGACCTGGAGAGGGCTCAGAGGTTGGAAAGAGCGTGTGTGGGAATCTTGGGGTACCCCAGGACCACAGGTCAGGGCAGGCTGGAATGGGGCATGGACTAGAAAGACCAGGAGGTCCAGAAACCCAGGGTTATAGGGACTGCTTGGAGGTAGAATTAGGCAATGCTGGGGAGTCCTTTGCTCCATGAGCGAGGGATCCAGTGGCAATGATAGGGGTCCCTATGTCACAAGGGATTTAAAGACAATACTTAGAACCCACAGATGATGCTTAGTGGGTATCTTCCCCATAGGAAACCTAGAAGCAATGTGGGTGATCTTTGTCCCTGAGAACTAGGTACCTAAGCGGAAAAACAGGGGTCCCCACTCAGGAAGGGAAAAGGAAGTGGAATGGGCTGGCTGGGACTCGAACCACCTAGCTGAGGGTGAGGAGAATTCCCCAAAATAGCTGGTGAGTCATCAGGGAGAGGCAGCCCTGCCCCCTCCTTCAGCGCTGCCAGTTCTAACCCCATTGGCCCCATCCCCCTGCCTGCAGACTGGCTTTACCGTCCTGGTTCCGGTCAAGGCTGTGGAACATGAGCAGCAGGCGCTGTTCCCGCTCCTGCAGGTAACGGGTGAATTCCTCCAGGTTGAACCCGCTCTCTGGATCAGTGTCACCCTCAGGGGAGATGCCCTGGCAAAGGGGAAGGGGACAGAAGGGGCTCCATGAGGCTGCTCCCCCATCTGGAGAGGGCACAATGAGCATTATGCCACAGGAACCCTGAGCCCCCAGCACTTGCAGGAGGGCTGCAGGGTACATCATCCCCCTCCCTTGATCGGCTCACTTCCCAGCAAGATGCCCAAGACCACAATAGGCATGTGAGGTGCCTGGCATTGTCCAGTTTTCCTGGCAAACAAACTGAGGCTCTGCAAAGTCAAGAAACTGGTTCAAGGTCACAGAGCTGGGAAGTGGTAACCTTGGGTTCTTGTCTCCAAAGCCTGTTCTGTCTCTTATAAAAAACCTGTTCACATGGCAGTTTCAGGGGTTCCCTTTAGGAACAGCCCTGGACAATTGGACAATGAGGGGCATGATGGATCCAAGGGAGCTACCGCAGGGTCTCCATATTACCCATCTGGGAAGTGGGAGTTGGACTAAAGGTCTCAAGGATGCTGTGGAGCTGCTTCAGGGGCATCTGGGAGCTAAAGGTATGAGGGACACCTGCAAGGAAGGGGAGGGGAGGCAAGTTTCTGCCTTGATCCCCAGCTGGGAGTGGCCTGGGACAGGTTGGAGTCCCTGGCTGGGGCAACGTGGGGCAATGAGCCAGCCCAGGAAAGGACAGGCAGGGAATGTAAACAGAGGGACTGGCTGGGAGGGCAGTGGGTGCCCTCAGGGTGGGGAGGGTGTGTCCTCTGGATGTGGGAGCAGGCCATGTCTTCTTGGGTTGTGCAAAGGCCAGAGGAGGGTGTGTCACAGTCAGTGGGCAGAAAAGCGCCCAGCTCTATTCCCTGGCAGGCATCCCCCACCCTCGAGGGTACCCGGCACTGGCAACCAAATTGCAGGCCTGGGGCCTTGGCGGCCCTGTCTTGCGATCCCGTTAAGCCAGACACGGGTGGGCAGGGGGAAGGGAACCGAGACAGGGGACCTGGAGTCCAGCCACAGGTCGTCAGTCCTCCGCGGCTCCAGCCGCCCCATTCAGAGGCTCGGGTTACTGGGCCGGCAGAGGCCACAGTGCAGCGCGCTAGAAGGGTCCGGCGGGAGTACCTGTTGGGCGCCACGGTCTGGGTCGCCCCCGCCCAGCCTGGCCAGTCCCTGGCGCAACTCGTGCACGTCCACGCGGCCATCCTTGTTACTGTCCAGCTCCTCGAATAGACGACCCCAGCGTTGCTGCCGCTCCGAGTCACCTGCGCCCCCCCGCATGGCTCCTGCCCGGGGTGGGGGGGAGGGGAGGCCCGGCAGCGGCGGCCTCAGCGGGGGCTTTGCGGCTCCCCCTCCCCCCCGAGACCCTGCAGGGCTAGCTCCGCGGCCACTGGCACCGCAGCCTCTGCGCTGCCCGCCGGGCTCTGGCACTTGCTAGAGGTGCTAATTGCTAGCCGTCGCCGCCTGCTCCAGAAGTTGCGTCTCCTCCTCCTACCCGCATGGGGAGGGGGTGGGGTACCGAGGGCGGAGCTGGGGGCGTGGGGAGGGATGTCTAGGATGCTCCGGTTTCGCACAGCCCAAGAGCCCGAAGACTCCTCTGGGAAGAGAGGATAGGTAATTCAGTGTTTTTAGTTTTTGTTTTAGAGTTCCACCTGCTTGCCTCAGTTTACCCTTTTCCGTTCCCTAAAGAGAGCGAGGGAGGGAGACGTTAGGGATTGGGTTTCATAATCTCTTTTCATTTGACCTCCCTCTCCTGCTAATCCTATTCAAGAACTAAAGTTCTCGCTTTTTCCAGACGTACGCAAGAACTCTGAGCCGGCTAAGCTCTTCGTCTGCCCGCCCGCGCATGTCAGATTCCCCACTCAGTTACAGAAACAGAAGATCAAGAGGCGTTGCTCGGTGTTCCTTCATTCTGCCCGCGCGCCTTCTTTCTAGGCCTCACTCAAACAGGGAAACGAAAGATCAACTCGCGGCGCGGCTGCACAGTCGCTTTCCTATTGGTCAGAGGCCCCTGAGCTGCGCGGGTCCGTCCTTCTCCGCCCGCCCACCTGGGCGGAGCCTCCAGCTGACCTAGACTGCCTTAGCTTTTCAGTCCCACCACCCGCCAGGCAGTCTTAAAGGGGCGGATCCAGACGCCGAGCTGACTGCTCTCTCGTGACCCGCCTGGCGGACATCTGTGTCCTGGGCGCAGATAGGGGTAAGGATTGGGTGGCGGAGCACTGGAGTTGGGACTTTAGCCAGTCGCTCTCGATGCACCTGCCTAGCGTCCCGCCCACTAGTTTCGGGTGCAGTTTCTCGACTCACCATCAGAGGGCCCACTTGACAGAGAACAATATAATAATAATAATAATAATAATAATAATAATAATAATAATAATAATAATAATAATAAAACAACTAACGCTGATTCGGTGCATGGCACATGCCAGACCTTTTACTCACTTCTCTCATCGTCCTCGTCAAGAATCTAGCTTTCCTACTTCACGGATGAGGAAACAGAAGGTTATACTTTCCAGTCCTCATTCCCACTAAAAGGCAAAGCCGGTATTTAAATTGATCTGGGACCCTTAACCATCTTTCTATATGTTAGAAGGGATTAAAAACCCAGATGTGGTGGCGCACGCCTGTAATCCCAGCGGCTCAGGAGGCTGAGGCAGGAGGATCAAGAGTTCAAAGCCAGCTTCAGCAAAACCGAAGTGCTAAGCAACTCAGTGAGACCCTGTGTCTAAATAAAATACAAAATAGGGCTGGGGATGTGGCTCAGTAGTCGAGTGCCCCTGAGTTAAATCCCCAGTACCCACAAAAACTAAATAAACACAACAACAACCCCCCAAACCCAGACTTGGTGCACTCCTGTAAACCCAGCGATTTGGAGGCTGAGGCAGGAGAATGGCAAGTTTGAGGCCAGCCTGTGCAATTTAGCGAGGCCCTCGGCAACTTATCCAGAGAGACCCTGTGTCAAAAAAAAAAAAAAAAAAAATCAGTGCTGAAGTTGTGGCTCAGTGGTGGTATGCTTGCCTTGCATGTATGAGGCCCTGACTTTAATTCTCAGCACTGCATATAAACAGATAAAATAAAGGTCTATTGAAAACTAAAAATATTTTTAAAAATCTTAAAAATCATATCAAATCAAATCAAAAGGACTGATGTATTTCAGTGGTAAAGTGCCAGTGGGTTCACCCCAGTATATAATCATCATCATCATCCATTTATTGGTCCTGGGGATTGAACTGAGGGTGCTTGACCGCTGAGCTGTATCACCAGTCCTCCTATTATTTGTTTGTTTGTTTGTTTTGAGAAAGCATCTCTCTCTCACTAAGTTGCCCAGGCTGGTCTTGACCATGTGATCCTCCTGCCTGAGACTCCTGAATGGCTGGATAGAGGCTAAGCCACCACTCCCAGCTAATTTCCTTTTCATCGTCACTCTTTACCCCAGAGTCCTCTGGAGGGGTCTTGTGACTATCATCACACTTCATCCAGAGATACAGCTTGGAGGGCTCATTTGCTTCTCGCCCTGCCTCTGCCCAGAAAGTTGTGCTTGAGTATCTCTTGTAGCTTGCAGATGTTTTCATTCCTGGGTGTTCCTTACGGGTGCCCTACAATATTTGGGATACAGGTGTTTTCCAATGAGACGCCCCAAGTATGTGTTTTCTCACAAATGTTTCCCTGACAGTTGGCCTCAGTACGCTTGCACCTCTGTCCTGACGATTCTCCCCACAGATGTGCCTCAGTGCTGAGAGTGCCTCAGGTGATTCCAGGTCTTCTCTTGTAAAACAAGCGTTCTTTATTCAAGGAAATTTGTCACCTCACAGGTATGTTTTGCAGCAGGCGTTCCTCTGTGAATGCACGTACAGCTCCCCACGGTGTGTTTCAGTTAAATATTCCCCTATATGAGTATGTTTCTGTATCAGTGGGTCCCCTGCAGGTGTGTTTTGGACAGTTATCTCCATACCTCTCCACACAGGAATTCCTCATACAAGTGGTGTGCATTTCGTAGGTGAGCTATGCATTCTTTTCCAGAGCAGGTGTAGGACACCCAGGAGTGCCTCGGTCTGGTGTTCTAATGCGCATGTTTCCAACACAGGTATGCTTCCATTCAGCTGTACTCCGAATGGATGAGATTCGACGCAGATGTCTCGGTAAGTATTCTTACAGGTAAACATCCCTGCCCATGTCTCCTACACAGATTTGCTCCCAGCCAGGTGTTTACTACACAGGTGTTTTTCATTAGGTACTTTCCTAATGAAAAGTGCCGAATCTACCCAGGCGCGGTGCCTCACTCACCCGTGCCTGCATGTCCCGAGTGTCTCCACACCTGTACGATCCTGAAGATGTGCCAGAAATACCGGTGTCAAGTCCTCACACCTGCGCGCTCGGGCCCTTTCGCTGCCCCGCCACGGTGGATTGGATTCCCGTTACAGGTGCGCCGGCGGCGCGGCCCCGCCCCTCTTGACTCCGCCCCCTCTTCTAGGCTCAGGTGCACTGGCCGGAAGTGCCATCCCCTCCCAGGTGAGTGACTAAACTTTCCGGGTCACGTGAGCGGGAGGGGCTGGTGGGGTCGGAGCGAGCGACCGGCGGACTGACCCAGGGTTCGGGTGAGGGACCGGGACAGGGAACCTGAGTGAGGTCAGAGACGTCCGGCCAGGTAGGGAGGTGGACGCTCAGCAGGCGCCCCCGCCCCCACCCTCTGGCCCTTCCCTCTCGCGGCCCAGGAACGCGGCCCGGGAGTTAATTTTTAATCTCTAGACTCGGCCGCGGGGGCGGGGCGGGATCCGGGGTGTCCTGGCGCTCGTCGCCTCTGCCCTGGGCCTGCGCCTGGGTCCAGCCCCAACCCCACGCTCCGGCCTCTCCCCTGGTCCCCAGGTGCTGGGTCTCAGGTACCCTCTGCCCAAGATGCGGTAGAAGCGGCGAGCGCGAGAAGCCCGGGCCCGGCGCCGCCAACCCGTCGCCCAGCCCATGGCGACCCCAGCCCTGGGGCTGCTCTTGGCGCTCGGCCTGCCGCTGCTGCCGGCCCTGTGGGGCCGAGCCTGGGGGCAAGGTAGGTACTCGCCCGGGGCGCGGCGTGCGGATTCCCGGGTCTGTCTGCTGAGGGCCGGCTCAAAGTGCTGGGCACCTGGGGCACATCCAGAACTGGGAAATGGGCATGGGTTGCTTTGGGGCGGGGTCCAGGGGTCCGGGTGGGGGAAGAGTTCCTGACTCCTATCAGAACTGAGCTCTTGAGGGGGTGGAATTTGTGGGCTGGGGTGCAGGAGGAAGGCGCTTCACCCGAGCAGGTGAAGGAAGGGAGGCGGTGGACCAGAATGTCGGTGGATGGGGTTTTGCCAGAGCCAGGAGGAGGTTGCCTGGGTCGCAGGGTCCTGCTGACATGGCTAGCCTTAGGTGTGGACTCAGCCAGCCACTTCTGCAGTTTCGGCAGCCTGAGGGGGAGGTGTGAGTCAGGAACTCCAGGGCCAGGCAGGACGCCCAAGTCCTTAAGGGCCCAGGGCCGGAGTGGTGGCTGTGGGGGGATGGTCGGGCTTCCGCCAGGTTCTATTATCATAGCCCCCAACTCAACACAAACAACTGATGGCTGATTACTCCCTGCTGGGCTCTGCTGAGCTCTGCTGAGCTGAGCTGGGCCTGGCCCAAGGCTCAAACTGCAAGGTCGGGGTGGGGGTGGGGGGCCTCTGTAATCTCTCTTCCCATAAGAGACTTGGGGGAGCAATTTTAATTGGGGACTGCTGCACTTGTGGGGAGGGGTGCCCCACGAAGGTGCAGAGGGACTGAGATGGGGATCCATTTATCCTCTCCCCAGCCACCACAGCACTGAACACTTCTTCGGGGAATGGCACTACCCCGCCCTCTACCCCTAGCCCCAGTGGGGGTCTGGTGAGTTGGGGTTTATGTGGAAAGAGGGCAGCTGGGATACTATGTAGGGGTCCCCTGGGTGGCAGGTGGAGGGGACTGCCTCCCCACTCCCTAGTGGCAGATCAAGGTGGCACTGGAGAGCCCCAAGTGTGAGACTAGGATAGCAACAGGACAAGGGGGAGACCTAAAGTCCCAGAATAAGGACACCAAGAGTCCTGGCAGGATCCTCATATGACAATCATAAGGAGCCCCGAGCTGGCAGGTGTGGTGGGGGCAGGAGTCCCGGATGTGGCAGGTGGGGGGAGCCTTGAACCTCCAAAGTAGATGAGGATCCTGGAATTCCGGGTGTGTGTGGGGGGCAGATCACCCAAAGTGGCAGGTCTGAGTGTGTAGAGGGGGTTAGGAGCCCCAGATTCAGCTCTTTTGGGGATGATTCAGGTGGGTCACACCTGTCCTGTCCCACTCCCCGAAGTCTCAGGAGGCCATTACTGCTATCATCGTGGTTTTCTCCATCCTGGCCGCCTTGCTCCTGGCCGTGCTGCTGGTGCTACTGGTACGGAAACTTCGGGAGAAGCGGCAGACAGAGGGCACCTACCGGCCCAGCAGCGAGGAGCAGGTGGGTGCCCGCGCGCCACCGCCCCCCAACCTCAAGTTGCCTCCGGAGGAGCGGCTCATCTGAAGGCTGTGGACAGCTGCAGCTGCCCGCTCTGCCCAGGACTGCCCAACACCCCCGCGCACAGAGCAGCCGCCACTGAGACACCAGCTCTGACGACTCGGGGGCACTGGGGGGCGCTGGCCTGGTGGCTGTGCAGCATGCTGCCTCTGCTCGACTCTGCATGCAGCTGGGGGGCCGGGGCGGGGGCCACTCCTGCTTGCTGCACCGTCTTCGTGTTCACTGTGCTGTGTATTGTCCCCTGCAGCAGGCCCAACAACCCCCTATCCTTTCTTTCAGTTCTCTCATGCAGCGGAGGCCCAAGCCCCCCAGGACTCCAAGGAGAAGGTGCGGGGCTGCCTGCCCATCTAGGTCCCTCCCTTCCTCCATCTCGCTTCCTTGCTGTGTGACCTTGGAGAAGGGGTGAACTCTCTAGGCAATGGGACTCACCTAGTGCTTGAGAATAGAGGGGAAGAAGGTGCTTCAGAGACTTGGTTCCTTGGGGTGGGGGGAGGGCTGCTCACGTTTTATACATTTATGTAAAGTTGGTAGTGACATGTAATAAAGCTTTTTTGGGTTGGTGGGAACATTAGCCTAGATGGAGAGATGAAGGTAGCCGTGACTTGTAAGGTTATGGGGGTCCTAGGGGCGTGAGGGGGCTTCTTGGAAGAGAGTGGCTTTTAGGTACACCTAGGAGCCAGAAGGGCTGCCCCTGGAGGGCCGGTGGGGGTAGGTGGGTTTCTGAGCAGAGAGTAGGCCCCCCATAAACTCACCAGGACAGACCAGCTTTGAGCTCTTGTGGCTTTATTGAAGATCCAGGGTCTCCTCCACACCCTGATCCTTAACCCTCAAAATACTTCTTAAGTTAAGATCAGCAACTCACAGCCTCTTCCTGGCCTGGGGCTCTTGCCAATCGCTGGTGGGTGAGGCAAGGGTGTTGGGGATTCCTGCATCCTCCGGAGACTGGAAGTGAACATGTTCTAGCAGGACCTTGGGAGGCTGGGTTCTGGGATTCTTTGGAAAACTGGGGTCTGGGGAAGACTCAAGGGTCTGGGATGTCCTGACAGTATCAAAGTTAGGCTCTGTGGGGGCTAGAAGTTGGGGACTTTTTGGAGGGCTGGGCTGGGTGTTTGCCTCGGAGAGCCTGGTGCAAGGGATCTCCCAGGCTGCAGGATGCTCAGTCGCCTTTTGAAGAGGGGAGAGACGAAGGGTTGAGGGCTCAGTGAGAGGAGAGGACTCGGGGTCCCCGGGGCTGCTTGTGTCTGTAGAAGCTGTTGAAAGCTGGGATGGAGAGATGATTTCTTGGCTGGAGCCTGAGAGCAGCTGGGAATTGGGGTTCTTTGAGGAGCAGGTGATTTCCAATGATGGTGTGTTTTGAAGGGATGGCAGGTCTGCAGGCAGGGACAGGGGCTGGGGCTCTGGCAGTTTCTCTTCATCTGGTTGCCATCTTGATCTTCCTGGTAGGTCAGGCTGGGTGGGGCATGGGAGGAGAGAGCAGGTTGCTGACCTGCTGATGAGAAAGAGCTGGCAGGTTGGACGGGCAGTTGGGGAAAGATTGGGTGGGGGGGTGGGGACCCTCTCACCAGGCTGAAGCAGCTGTCCAGGTCCCCTCCGTGACAGCAGTCTAAGCTCTGGCTTGGCCTCAGGCTGCCCATGCTCTTAGTCTGTACACTCAAACTGTCTAGAATCTCACTCAGCAAATCCAGTTCTTCTCCGGACCCCAAAAAGTTGCTGTCCAGAACTTCTTCTGCCCATGGACCCTGGGCATCCTCAGGGCTCAGGGGAGGTGTCCTGGGTGAGAAAGGGCACCCCAAGTTTCCTGAGACCTCCGCCCTGGTTGGTCTGCTCTAATGTTTGGAGAGCCTTCTGATCCATCCTGGTCTTCCACTTCCAACCTTGGTCCCCTTTGAGTCTTACCTCTCCCCCAGGGGCTCAGAAAATCCCTTTTCTGGCTTAAGTCTCCTGCTGGGGCGAAGGGGTCTGTTCTACAAAAGACGGATGTGGAGAGGGCAGTGATGTGGAGCTGCAGAATCAGGGGGCTGGGGCTTTCTGGAGGAGGGTGCGTTTGAAGTGAGCACCAAATTTTGGTGTATGTGAGGAGTGAGGCGAGATGTTCAGGCAGAGACTGGGGGGCCACAGGGTGGGGGATCTGGTGATAATTCCAGGTGTGCGCCTGGGAAGCACGTTCTCACCTGTCCAAAGTGCTGGGTGATAGGCAGGCGCTGCTGCAGGCGATCTGAGCGGCTGGTGAGGCTTGCGGTCCTCAGGGAGCCTCCTCTGTGCAGGCCAGAGTCCCCATCCTGGGAAGAGGATACAGGACTGGAGGCCCCTTCTTCTTCCCTCCCAGGGCATTGCCGCCCATCATTGATGGCCTTACCTTGTACAGCAGTAGGCTCTGCATTCCTTTCAGGCCACTCTTGGCCTATGGAAAAGCCGAGGGGAGTTAGACCTATGGGTGACTGGACACTGGGCATCTGAGGTCAGGCCTCTGACCCCTAGCACAGCTGTGCCTTGCCACAGGACCTGGCTCTGTGCCTTCCAAATACGTTCACTACTCCCTGGGCACCACCTCTGAAGTCAACATAAACTTTTGCCCCTTGACTAATACAGAAGCATTTCTGGAGGCCTAACCCCACATAAAACAGGGAGTGGCCCTACAGCCTTGTAAAAATGTGTCACTGTCTCCATCAAACAAAGAATAAACTTGGATGGACAATTTTAAGCCCCAAGAAACTTTCAGGCTTTGGAGAAGAAAAGACGGGCAGAAGCTGGGATGTATCCTCTGAGGACAAGAGTCACCAGTGAATCTTTGGCTGTCAACGTTAAGTGGGCAAGAAGTGATTCTGACCCAGCCGAGCCTGCTGGAGGGGACATGAGAGCCGCAGGACTGTTCCCAGCTTGGCTGCTGCATCAGCTCTGATGAAGGCCTTCGCAGGACTTGCCTGTCAGGGTTAAGTGACCCATCGCCCTTGGAGCCTCAAAACGTCCTCGGTCCCCTCCCCCTCGTCACCCCAGCAGTCTGGCCTATCCTGCCCAGCTCACCGAGCGGTACATGATCCTGACGGCTGGTTGGGTCTTGGCTTTGACCGAATGCAGGAGAGCACCACCACCTTTCTGTGGAAGAAGGTTGCCAAAGGAGAGACTTGGGATGTGGGGGCCACTATACTAGGGCTGGGCCCCAGGCCCCACTCCCACCCCGGGCTGTGCTGCTGGCCAATTCCCCCACCTCTATAAATGAGCATAATCACGGACCCCATGGAGGACTATTGTGGGATTAAATTAATCCAATCAATGTGTAGCAGTGTTTGGTGTTACTACCTTTAGGTGGTCGGCCCAGAGCTGATAGGAGCGGAAGGTGCCTGGGGTGAGGAGAGCAGGTATCATCCAAGGCAGGCATTGGCTGGGGCTTGGTAGGGGGAGAACCCAGAAGCCAGCAGGGGGCTCACCTGAGGAATCCCTGCAGCAGCTGATCTCCTGCTCAAAGGTATCGGAGAAGCCCTCCCCTGAGTTGAGCTTCTCCAGCCGGGCTTCAATGAACTGCAGTGGGCACAGGGTCAGACACACCTGGATGTCAGGGCTATGTCCGCCGGTGCCCCTTCCTGCCCTCCCAGCTCCTCCAGAGGCCCACCCTAAGGTCCAGGAATCTGGAGCCCACCTCAGGAAACAGAACCTACTCTGTCCTGGCCCCAAGTCAGGAGCTGTTCCCAGGGATCTGATTCCCTGACTGGGACCAAATGAGAAGCCCGCCCCTTCCTGTGAGCCAGTAATACTGGAGCCCGCCTTCAGGGATCCTAGAACCAAGCCTGGCATGGAAGGATTTTGGAGTTCACCTGCCTTCTCCCAGGAACCCAGGAGTTGGTCCTGCTCCCTATTCCCACATTCCCGGGACCCAGGAGTCCCTACCTACTTCCTCCTCCACCCAAAAGGGAGTCCACAGTCAGCACCTGCCTTCTCTACAGACTCACAGATGCCCACCTAGGGATCCAGGAACTTGGACCCCCCTCATCCATCCAGGAGCCTAGAAGTAGGTCTTTTCCCCACCCGGGGATTCTGGAGTTGGGGAGTCCCCTGGGAGCAGCCCCAGCCCCCTCCTAAGATCTCAGAGGTCTGCTCCTCACCTTGGGGTCAGAGGCCTTCCTCAACCCACCCCTGGGAACCCAGCAGGCCCTCTCTGGCTTCACCCTGGGGGTTCTGACCCACCTGCTTGAACAGCTGCAGGTGTACAGCCCGCTGGTGGAAGGCCTGCAGGGGCGCCCCAGGCTTCTGGGCCAAGAAGGCTTCTTCACTGAAGGTTACAGGCTGGCCCTGGAAGGAGGAGCCCGGTCCTGAGCTCCCAGTGGCTCTCCCGATCCCAACCACCTCCTTCATTCTACCATGAAGCCATGTGGATGGCTGCCGTGCTCCTGACCCCCTGCAGGGACTCATGGGCCATGGGATGGTCTTTTACCTCTACAGAGTTGGGAGCCTTGGGAGAGCTGCAGAGCAGGTATGGTACCTGACTCAGGTGTTCCCAGGTAACCTCTGACCCCTGCTGGGAGGAGACTGTGGAAGGCCGGACAGAGCCAGTGTAGGGGGAGGGAAGTCCTAATGGGGAGGCCACTAGGGAGCGTTGGAGGTGAAAGCCAGATGTGTAAATGACCCTGGAATCCCCTATTCTATTAAAAGAATAGTTATGAAAAATGTGTGTGGGGATGAGGGAGCTTGAGAGCAGATCAGGGTTCTGGATTCCACTCTCCCACTCCACGTGGAGCTTCTCCAAGCCTCGGTTTGTCATCTACAAAATGGGGCTTTAATAGTAGCCATCTCAGCGTGAGCATTAAATAATAGCAAGACCCGGCGTTTATGGAGACTCCGTATATGCTAACACGGTGCAAAGTGCCTGGAATACGCCGATTCGCCGACTCAAACAACCCTTTTGGGTGGGCACTACCGGCATCCCATTTTACAGGGGAGCAAACAGAGGCACAGGTCACTCCTCCACAAACGCTCCAAGTTATTAGCGTTGTGAATCCTTCAGGAACCCAGAGAGCGAGGGAGAGCGCGCACGCGGGAGCGAGCGAGAGCCACTTCTCTCTCGGCCTCTATCCCTGCTGCTCACCGGGCTGCAGACCAGCGCATCGCGGTAGCCGCCAAAGAGCAGGGCCTGGGCTTTGAGGAAGAGACGGGACACTCCTTCCCCGGGGCTCAGCGCGACCTTCCTTAATCTTAGCCTCAGCAAGGACACCTGTAGGTAGGGCCAGAGGGAGGCACTGAGCGAGCCAATGTGAGGTTTCCGGCTCCTGGAGAGGAGTGGGAGGGGGTGACCCTGACCACGTCTGGCGGCAGCGTCTGCACGTCTTCGAAGGGCGTCTCCAAGGTATTGGAGTCTATGTTCAGTACCACGACGTCCTCCAGGGCCTTGTCGCGCACTCTCTGCAAGGGATGGAAGATGCTCTCTCAGAGCCTGAGGATCCCTCCCAGGTGGGGAAGGGGATCCCTCCCGCCCCGCCACCTGCGGGGTGGCGGTTCGTTCTCACCTCGGCCAGACTTGCATGCACTCCAATGAGGTAGGGCATAGGCGCGCTGCGGACCGAGAGCCAGGGTCATGCAGGCACTGCCCCCACCCCAGGCCTCTTCCCTAGGCCTGCCCCGCCTTCCAGGCCCGCATTCCTCACCAGCAGTAATCCAGTAGGTGCGGGGGCAGCGTGGGGATCAGCACGTGTTCCCAGCGCATGGGGTACAGGAGAGCACAGGACGCGTGAACACAGGAAGTCAGCTGGGGACAGATGAAGGGTTTAGAGTTAGGGCCTCCTAACTTCAAGGACCCTCTCCAAGTCGATGGCTCAAACCTTCCCAGTCTCCTATTTCTCCTCCTCCCTCACCCTGCGGTGAAATGGGGGGAAACTCAGGCGACCCCTTTAGGAATCAGATGGAGACCAAGAATTTGTCTAATTACGGTCCGCTCTGGGTACCTGAGGATTCTGCAAACTCGGATTCAACCGACTTTGGGTCAAATATATTTAAAAAAAAAAATGCATCTGTGCTGAACGAGACTTTTTTTCCACGTCATCATTCCCAAACAATAGAGCATAACAACTATTTACATAGTATTTACATTGTATGAGGTATTTGAAGTCACTTGGAGATGATTTAAAGTCCATAGGAGGACATGCATAGGTTCTATTCAAATACCATGGCATTTTAGATAAGGGACTTAAGCATCTGCTGATTTTGGTATCCTTTGGGGTCCTGGAAGCAATTCCCCTGAGGTTACAGTGTTACGGAGAACTGTCTCATGCTTTTCAGTGGGTGGAGCCAAGACTTTGCCAGTCCTAATTCCTCCCTGTAAGGGGCAGATCTAAGATTCAGCCCGCTCAGATCCCATTCCTAGGGACCGAGCCATGGCAGCCCTCCACTGACCCCAACCCCTAAAGAGGAGGGACTCTAAGGCAGCTCCCGGTTCCAGCGCCCCGAGTATTCAGATCTCACCCATCTATTCCCCTAGGGGCGAAGCTAGAATTTAGGGCTCAAGGATCGTATCCTCCAGAGGGGCGGGGCCAAGCCTGCCCAAGGAGGAGGAGCTACACCACACACACTCCCGTTCCACCCGATAGGGTGGGTCAGGTGGAGCTCCCATTGTCAGCCCCTCCCATTGTGTCCCCGCCCCCCCCCCTCGGGTGGATCCTGGCCTTGTCCTCTCCCCCGCCTCACCGTGCTGAGCTTGCTGGCAGTGAGCAGGACTCTGCGCTCGGCTAAGAGCGCGGCGAACAGGCCCACGATGTTCTCATCTGTCACCGCCACCACCAGCTCCGTTAGGTTTCTCTGAGGAACAGAGGGGCACGCGCTGAGCGTGGGCAGACGCCAAGATCTGGCGTTCCACTCTGGGTTCTGGGACCTCTGCCCGCCCCCGGAGTTCCCTCCCGCGTCCCTACTTACATTCTCAGGAATGGAGGGCAGGGAGCCGGAGTCCGGAGCCACGAAGCAGGAAAGCTGGCGGGGGCATTGGTGGGGGTAAGCAATCAGTCTGCGAGTTGACCTCACCTGGGTGCCCAACCTTCCAGGGACCGGATTCCCGCTCACCAGCCTGCTGTTCCCGGGGGCAGGAGGGAGTATTCCGTGCACACCGGAGATGGTCACTCCACCGCCCTGGGGGACAGGTATAGCTGCGTGTTCCTCAGGGCTGGGGTACAACCTCCCCATCCATCTAACGTCCGTGGCCCAGGAGTTGGGAGCTACTCACCAGCTCCAGCCCTCTTGAGACCTGGGGCCCAGGAGGGGGCTGCTGCAGCAGATTTAGAAGAAGTTCTTCAGCCTCGGAGACCTGTGTGGAAGTCGGGGAGTGTCTGAACCAGGAGGAGGGTTTGGGACTCTGAGGGCCTTGGCTCAGGCCAGGTGGCCTCGGAGGTGCTGAGGGACTCGGGACCGGTCTGGGAGTTCAGCGAAGGGCTGGAGACAAGATGGGGCAGGGGCTGGGACTCTGGCAGGAGTGAAAGGGGGCTGGTCTCACTTGGTCCTGAGCTAGGAGGTCCCCCACTGTGTTCAGTAGCTTGTAGAATACCTCGAACCATGGCAGGTGACTGCGGAGAGAGGAGGGGCTGAATGGAGTACCCTGGCCGAGGCTTGGTGCTTCCCACCCTGTCCCAGGCTCTCTTTCCGTACCTGAGGATGCATAGACAGCTCTGCGCACCAGCTCGCAGGCGGCAGAAACCGAATCTGCGGTTGCCGGCCAGGTCGGTGAGGGCGAATGTGAAATGCTGGACGGCAGGGCTGGGGGGCTCCCTGGAGGTGGGCAAGACTCTTCGGGGAGTCCTGACAATCCACCTCCCCATGCCCTACTCCCTCCAACCATGCTCCCAGTGCTGTGCCCACCAGGCTGGACTTTGGGTGTTCGGGTCCCTGGTTTGTGGATCATTTGGTACCTGAGACCATGAGTTCATGGGTCCTTGGGTCTCTATGCATTTAGGTCACTAGTTATCCAGGCCCCTGATTGTCTGGGTCCCTGGGTCTCCAGGTCCCTGGGTAATGGGTCTCCAGATGTCTGAATTGCTGTGTGTTTAACACTTAGGGTCCCCGAGAGCCTGGGGTCCCTTTGTCTCTGCTCCTTTCCATACCTTTCTACATCAAAAGGAAAGCAAAACTTGGGCACCATCTGCATGGCTTCCTGGAAAAAGGAGAGAAGCAGACTGACAATCAGATCAGGATCCGTGGGTTCCAGGTCCGAGCACAGAGCCTCAGCCCTCTATGGGACTGGCCCTGGCCGGAAGGAGCAAGAGGCCCGCCTGAGTACCTGGTCCCTGAAGTCTGGTGGGAACTGCCTCAGAATGGGAGGATCTGCAGGGAGAGTGGGCTGCTAAGTCCAGGGCGTCAGGCCCTCCTCCATCCCCACCCCCAGGGCCCCAAACTCACCTTCCTGTAGGGAGGCAGGGCAGGCTGCCTCAAAGAACCAATCAAACACGGCTGGGGGACCCCCTCTGTGGGACAGAAGAGGGCTTAGAGGACCCAGGGACTTGTTTCTGCATGTGATTTGTGCCTGTGAGTGTGAGCAGGTGTGCTGGTGTGTGACTGGTGTCTGTGGTGGCGTGTGTGGCTGTGGGAAGCGCTAGGTGCAGGCCTGTGAGTGTGCAGTAGAGCCAGAGAGCACAGCAGTGTGGATCGCTGAATGCCTGCTTATATGAGTGTGTGTGTGTGTGTGTGTGTGACAGAGCAAGTGTGCGGATGACCATGGCTGTGCGTGTTTTGGGTGAGTGGGCATCTTTGTGGTTTGCCTCTGTGCCCCTGGGTGAGGTTTCCTGGGTCCCCATGGCTGACCCCACCTTCCTCACTAGAAGAAGGACAGCGGATGCCCTGGTGCTTACTGTGAGCCCTGCAACCACCCCCACCTTCCCTGCCCCCACGTCATGCAGAGGATGCTGGGACTTGGGCTCCAGGAGAGAGATGGCAAGACCCAGAGGAGACCCCTGAAGACGCACGGTGCTGTCCAGCTGCACGGAGTCCCTGGCACTTTACCCTCATTCGGGCACGAGTCAGGCACCCACCCATGTGGACACACGGCTTCTCCCCCCTCACATCACCCACTCTGCTGACTCCCAGAGCAGCCACTCACACCCCCCAGAGGCGCAGTCCAGAGGAGCTGGTGAAACCACCCAGAGCAGGACGGAGAGAGAGGAGGGGCCGAGCGTGGCCCAGTAGGCCCCAGAGAACACACAGGGGAGGCCAGCTGAGGTCCTGCCCTGATGCCTGCCGCCTGCCCGATGGGTCACTGTACCTCCCGGGCGGCCCCGCCATAGCTCCCCACTGCCCCGGCCAGGCCTGGGAATCTTGGCCCACAGGATGAGGGAGGGGCAGCTCTTACTCAGCTCTGGATCCCATGGTCCCTGCAGGGCTGGCCCGGCTGGGCCCTTTCCCCAGGGGTCCTGGGGGCCTGTGCTTGCCTGGGGCTGGGCCCTGAGCGGCTCGGCTTCCTGTGTGGCTGACAGAGGAAGTTTAACGGGTGACGTCCTCCCTGACGAGGCCCCTGCCCCCACCCACTGTGAGAAACCTAGGCGTCCGGCTGCTTAGGCTTCTCTGGGATGGGTGGCAATAGGGGCAGGCTCAGAGGCTGAGCCTTCAGGTCATCCTGGAGGCTGGGCTATGTCCTGTCCCCACGGTCACACTCAGGCCTTCCCCTCTCCTTCCTTACTTCAGGGAAGGCGAGGACTCAGTCTGCCGAAAGTGCTTCCTCTTCCTTGCACTCTTGCTCTTTCCCTGGGTCCATTCTCACCAGCCACCCCACACCCAGCACCGCCAGAGGGAGGTGGCCCAAGGAAAGGACACACGGGAGCCAGGGAGGGGGCGCAGAGGTCGACACAGGCAGAGCAGCAGACAGCCCCCCCCACAGTCATACTCGCTCATACAAACAGCCCCAGACGAGGGACAGGCAGGGGAGTCGGAGGGTGGTGGCTCACTGAACACCGGAGGGCTGCTCAGTGGTTTGGCCTGGTCCCTGTGATTCCCAAGCCTCTGCTCTCATCCCCCTGAGATAGCTGAGCCTTTGGCACCCACCTCCACCCTCTAGGGAGAAGCCCCTGCTTGCTGCACAAGGTGATGAAGCGAACTCCACGGAAACACCAGGCAAGGACTCATTTATTCATCCAGGGTCAGGCAGAGGAGGGGTAGTCGGGAGTGCTCCCTGACAGTGCTCCCAGGGAAGCCAAGGTAGGAGGTGCCCAGGGAGAGAAGTCAGGGAGGGAATGGGAGCTGATGAGAACCAGAGAGAAGGCGGTGAGAGGGGAGCAGGGGTTCCTGAGGTCAAAGATGAGGCTTGGCTCGGAGCGAGGGGTCAAGAGCAAACCAGGGCTTATGGGGCTTGGGGGTGTCAAAGGTGAGGGAGTTGGGATAAAGGAGGGCTAATAAGGGGGGGGGTGCACGTTGAAGGGCTAGAAAAGGTGAAGCAAGGCTTAGGGAGATGTCCAAGTTGGAAGATGTCCATGGGGGTTTGGAGATAAGGTAGGGTTCCAGGTCAGAGCTGGGCTAGGGTCGCAGACGAGGTGACCAGAGGTGATGTGAACTCCGCAGTATGGTTAGGGTCAAGGCAGAGTGACGATGGATGGTGGGGTCCTGGGGTCAGGCTGGGTGGGGAGGTCATGAGGTTCTTGGGGTTGCAGAGGAGGCCAAGGTCAGCGGTCAGAGGCCTGGCTGGGGGTGTGGGGAGACGGGAGGTAAACGCAGGGGTCCTAGGCCACTTCCTCCTCGGCCTCCTCCTCGAACTCGCCCTCCTCCGCGGTGGCGTCCTGGTACTGCTGGTACTCGGACACCAGGTCGTTCATGTTGCTCTCGGCCTCTGTGAACTCCATCTCGTCCATGCCCTCGCCCGTGTACCAGTGCAGGAAGGCCTTGCGCCGGAACATGGCCGTGAACTGCTCCGAGATGCGCTTGAACAGCTCCTGGATGGCCGTGCTGTTGCCGATGAAGGTGGCCGCCATCTTGAGGCCGCGGGGCGGGATGTCGCACACGGCCGTCTTCACGTTGTTGGGGATCCACTCCACGAAGTAGCTGCTGTTCTTGCTCTGGACGCTCAGCATCTGCTCGTCCACCTCCTTCATGGACATGCGGCCCCGGAACACGGCGGCCACGGTCAGGTAGCGGCCGTGGCGCGGGTCGCACGCGGCCATCATGTTCTTGGCGTCGAACATCTGCTGGGTGAGCTCGGGCACGGTCAGCGCGCGGTACTGCTGGCTGCCCCGGCTGGTCAGCGGCGCGAAGCCCGGCATGAAGAAGTGCAGGCGCGGGAAGGGCACCATGTTCACGGCCAGCTTGCGCAGGTCGGCGTTGAGCTGGCCCGGGAAGCGCAGGCAGGTGGTGACCCCGCTCATGGTGGCCGACACCAGGTGGTTGAGGTCCCCGTAGGTGGGCGTGGTCAGCTTGAGGGTGCGGAAGCAGATGTCGTAGAGCGCCTCGTTGTCGATGCAGTAGGTCTCGTCCGTGTTCTCCACCAGCTGGTGCACCGACAGCGTGGCGTTGTAGGGCTCCACCACCGTGTCCGACACCTTGGGCGAGGGCACCACGCTGAACGTGTTCATGATGCGGTCCGGGAACTCCTCGCGGATCTTGCTGATGAGCAGCGTGCCCATGCCCGAGCCTGTGCCGCCGCCCAGCGAGTGGGTCAGCTGGAAGCCCTGCAGGCAGTCACAGCTCTCCGCCTCCTTGCGCACCACGTCCAGGACGGCGTCCACCAGCTCGGCGCCCTCGGTGTAGTGGCCCTTGGCCCAGTTGTTGCCGGCTCCCGACTGGCCTGGGGGGGGAGAGGAGCCCAGCACAGCATTGACCTCCACCCAGTCTACCCGGTATCTGGAGGGCCCCCGGCTAGTTGAACAACAACGCTGGCCAAGTGCCCCTGAGTTCAATCCCTGGTACTCCTCCCCCACAAAAAAAATCCTTTCTTCTAAGTGTTGGAAATGTACAGCACATGGTGGCCCTCTGTGCTCACCTCACTGCACAGTAGCACAAAGTGCTATCCTTATCATTAACCGTTCTCTCTGCTTCCCTCCAGGTTTGTCCAGCAGCCAGAGGAGGGGAAACCGAAATCAGGTTGTGTCCCACCTTAGTTCAAAACCATCCCCAGATGCCCCTCCTGTCTTATGCGGCACTGGGGATCGAACCCCTTCTTCATTTTTGTTCTGAGACTTGCTAAATTGCCCAGGTTGGCGTCAGAATAGCTGGATGAAGGCGTGCACCACGGAGCCGGTCTCTCCCACTCCTATCTTTGACCAGTAGCCGGCCTGCGGACCTGCGCTCTGCTCTCCGGCCTGGCCTCCTCCCTCCCTCCCTCCCCCGCATTTCCTCTGCGCCAGCCACCAGGGCTCCTCCAACACGCCAGGCTTGGTCCTGGGATGTGCCTCTGCCGGGAATGCTGAGCCCCCAGGTTCCTCCTTCGTGGGGCTCAGCAATTGCCACTGGTGGCTCAACCCCTGACTTCTCTCTCCTCGTCCCTGTGGTACTGACAACTTGTTTTCATATTAATCATGTTTATTGCCTGGAATCTCACAGAGGAATGCCAGCTGCAGGAGGACAAGGTCAAGTACTAGAATACTGGCTGTTATTATTGACAACACCTGCTTCCCCCTGGTCCAGCTCCATCTTCACCCACCTGAAACGGGCTCCCGACCCCACCCTGTCTTCTGTGCAGCCGCCAGAGGGCGCCCGTGAATACCTGAGCCTCAGCCCCACCTTGTCTTTTACCTCCCAAAGCCCTGGGGGCTGCGTCTCCACCAGGGAACCTGCTCCAGCCTCCAGGGCTTTCTCATTGTTCCCCTAACAGGCCAGACTGGGTCTGCCTCAGGCCCTTTGCACTGGCGGTTCTGGCTGCCTGGGATTCTTTTTCCTCAGGGCTCCTCCCTCACTTTCTGCTCAATGTCACCTTTTCAGAGATGACAATCCCCAGATAGGATAAGGATCCAACATATGGATCCTCCTCCACGCCCTTAGATTGTTTTTATTTTTCTTCCTACACCTGCCGCTCTCAACCTTATGCATGTTGTGGTGTGTTGATCTGAGGGACTCCCGTGTCTGACTCCTGGCTGGAGCAGACCCAAGGGGAGGAAGACTTGTCTTGGCTGTGTCTGGAACACAGTCCTTTAGAGCCAGGAGCCTCCAAAGGCCCTAAGCTTGGGCACGTCCTGCATCTCTGAATCCTTCCCCCAGTTCTCTGAGGTACTTACATACTTTTGGGGGAGGGTAGTGGGGATTGAGCACAGGTGTGCTTTACCACTGAGCTGCAGCCCCAGCCCTTTTTGTCTTTTATTTTGAGACAGGATCTTGCTAAGAAGCTGGCCTCACACTTGTGATCCTCCTGCCTTGGCCTCCCAAGTTGCTGGGATTTCAGGTGTGTGCCACAGTGCTCAGCTTACATACTCTTTTTACTTCCATTTTATAGATGAGAAATGAAGATTCAGAGAGACTAGCTCCTAGGTGAAAAGTCACACTGCAAGCAAGTGGGACAGCTAGGGCTCCGAGCAGATGGTCTGGCCCGAGTCCACACTTTCAGCATGTACCATAGAATCACTTGGCCCAACTGTGAGCCACCCGTGGTCATTCAAAAAGGCCTCAAACCTCCGTTGTGTCTCTTTCCACAGCCATTCCTGAGCACCCATTAGGAATCATGCCCACATTGGTGCATCATTATCTCTCAGAATCTTTGTATAGATCAGAGAGGGGAAGTCACTTGTCCAAGGTCACACAGCTTATTCAGACTTCAGACTCAAACCACCTTGCTCAGAGGAAAAGGCTTGCAGGGGTTCTGGGGCCTAGGTCAGGTTAGGGTATATGTGACCAGCCCAATCTTGAAAAGAGCTCCCAATAAGGACTATGACTGAGCACGAGTACTCCCTTGAGTCTAAATTCCAAAACTGTGTTTACTGACTTTGCATATGCTATTCTCTCCAAGTCCCTTGGCCAGTCCTTGGCCCACTCACCTGTGAGGTGGCAGGTATTTATAATGATAATGGAAACAACTACGATACATGCTTATTTACCCTTTCCTCTATGCCAGCTCCACACACAGTGAGAGCTTTACGCCATCTCCTTGGTTCTAAACAGTGGATCATCTGTATCCTTGTTCTGAAGATGAGGAAACTGAGTCATGAAAGGTTATGGAGCCTGTCCAAAGTCACCCAGCTGACAGTCCAGGGCTGAGCTGTACTAATGGATCTCTGCAATGGGCTCCCCACGGATGGCTGCTCCAGGGCCTGGGTAGGGAGTGGGCCCCGACAGCAGACAGCTCAGGTTGCTTTGTTCTGCTGCACCCCAGCTTCTGGTGCAGGGCCTGGCATGTCGTCAGAGCTCATTAACTCTTTGTCCAGTGCATGAGTTGGCAGAGCTCGGGGCTTGCACCCTGCAACCTGGCTCTAGTCCGACTGTTCAGTTAAAATGCCACCTCATCCAGGAAGCCTACCAGATCCCTCTGCTGTCCAGGCCCTCCCCAGGGCCTCCACCGTGACCTGTTTGACCCCATCACGTCCCTGACTTCTCTGTCCATTCTGGGACTCAGTGGTTAGTGCCAGCTCTGGTGCTAGGTCGGGAATTTTCATCAAGGCACCCGGGAGTGAAGGAATAAGGGGCTCCTTTCCCTGGGCCCCACTCCTGGAACTCACCAAACACAAAGTTGTCTGGCCGAAATATCTGGCCAAAGGGGCCCGAGCGGACGGAGTCCATGGTGCCAGGCTCCAGGTCCACCAGCACGGCTCGGGGCACGTAGTTCCCTCCTGCAGGGAGGCAGATGGAGGGCAGCTGGTGTGAGTGCCAGGAGCCACAGGCGCCTGAGAGCATCCTGTCCCCTCCCAGCCAAGGCACATCCCCACACCAGAAGGTGCCCCCCACCCTACCTGTGGCCTCATTGTAGTAGACATTGATCCTTTCCAGTTGCAGGTCACTGTCCCCATGGTATGCGCCGGTGGGGTCGATGCCATGTTCATCACTGATCACCTCCCAAAACTAGAGCAGGTAGTGATGGGAAGGGTTGAGAGAGGGGGACCAGGTGGCCGGACCTCGGATCCCCCCAGAACCACTTCCCTAGCTGCAGCTCACCACCCACCCCCGGGCCCCCAGCCAGGTGACTGGGGGACCTAGAGGTATGGCGAGGATGAGGCAGCAAGAAGGAAGAGGTGGGGGCGGGGTGAGGCCGTCACCACCGCAGCCCGAGCCTGCTGGTGCCAGCGCACCCTGGCCGCAGCCCGGGGGAGGGGCGCCGTCTCTTTGTGCGTGGAGGGGACAGTGGGCCAGCTGTGAAACCAGCTGTGGCCAGCAGACAGAAGGCTGGGCCCTACGCCGATTGACAGGCCTCTTTGTTCCCAGCCTGGCCCTGCCCCCAGCGCCCCTCCCCCACCATCCCGGGGGCGCTGGCCTCCTGGGGACCGGGTCCCGCAAGGCCCTAGGTCGGGGAGCCTGGGGGAGCTAGCTGCGCACCGAGTCTGCCCCTCTCGGCCCCGACCCCACGCACCTTGGCCCCGATCTGGTTGCCGCACTGGCCGGCTTGCAGGTGCACGATCTCCCGCATGGTGGTGGCGCTGCTGGTGGACGCGGTGGCGGTGTTGCGGACGCTCTGAGCTGCTGCGGCGGCGGCGGCAGCGGAGGCGGCGAGGGCGACTGATGCGGCGGCGACGAAGCTCTGTCCCTGCGCCCCCGGGATGCCTCTATATGAGCGGGCGGGGTCCGCGTCACCGCCGGCCGCTCCGCCCTCCGGTCCCGCCCCGGGACGGAGGGGCGGGTGTGGGGGACAGGAGGATCTCCCTCCTCCGAGGCCTCCGAGAGCTCCCCGGGCCTACCCTAGGTCCTGCCTGGGTCCCTTCGCCCCACCCCGGGGCAGGGGGCGGAGGCCCTGCGGAGTCATCAGTTCCTGGCTCCCGCGCCACCCGGGTTTCAGAGAAATGAGGTGGGGGGAGGCGGGAGCCCAGCGTCAGCAGGAGCTGGACACCCTGCCGGCCCCCTCCCGCCCAGCCCCAGCCTCAAGTTTCTGCCCCAGCCTCCCATTGCATTTAGGCCTCTTTCCCCAGAACCCTCGCCTTCGCTGCGAGTGGGGTGGAGCTGGGCTCCCGAGGTGAGGGGGGGTGCAGGCAGCGGGGGTTGGTTTCCGAGGACTCGTCTGGAAGCTGCGGAATAAGCCACCAGTTTAGGTTAGCAACCCTTGTGGAAGCTGGTGGAGACTGTGGGGAGCTGTGGGCTCCTCTGGACACCTCTGCTTTGGGCTTTTTGCAGGTGGGGTCACCGTGGGTCTGGCTTGAGGGAGGAGCATCACCATCTAAGGCTGGGGCTGGATTACACACGGTGGTGGTGGTGGGCTCCCGCAGATCTTCGCCTCTCTGCTTCAGTATGAACATCTCTCACGTCTCCTCTCCTCTCCTCCCCTCCCCTCCCCTCTCCTCTCCTCTCCTTCTTCTCTCTCTCTACCCACCCCTCCCCAGGATTGAAGTCAGGGCCATTCACCCACTCACACCCCCAGGCCTATTTTGTATTTTATTTAGAGACAGGGTCTCACCGAGTTGCTTAGCGCCTGGCTTTTGCCAAGGCTGGCTTTGAACTCTATCTTCCTGCTTCAGCCTCCTGAGCTGCTGGGATTACAGGCCGATGCTGGGCTCCACCTTTGCATTTCTTATTAGCTCTATGACCTTGCTCCAGGCCACTTCTGTGCCGGAATTGTCCCCTCTGCTAGTCGGGGAAGTGGAGAGAGTTGGCCCTCCGGGAATTCTGGGAAGGGCCGAGAAGATGGGCAATTAGCAACTACCAGGAACAGAGCCAATAATAAATGGTATCTATCACAATTGCAATCAAGATCTGGGCAAGACTTAATGTACAGCCCCTTAAATGAAGGACAGACCTCTTGAGGCCACCTTCAGCTGGCATCCTCCAGCTCTGCCCCCCAGGATGCCTCTTAAACCCCAAGGCTCACCCAGAAGAGGACTTGGGACTCTTTAAGTTGGGTGGGCAATGCTGGCTATGTGGTTCGGCCCCTCACTTTGGGCAGTGGTTCTTTGTGTGTGTGTGAGTGTGAGCTTCTGGCTGGGGTAGGTAGAGGCCAAGGAAGATGCCCCAGCATAGAGACTGATTCAGCACCAATGTCAGTCAGGCTGAGGCAGAGAAAACCTGCACTATTATTTGGGGAAAAAATTGAGCTAGACCCCCAGAAGAAATTCCTGATGTGTGAGATGTTATAAACCAGTGCTATCCCCCCAGCTTTCAGGACTGACCTCCTTTCCTTCGCGCGCGCGCGCGCGTGTGTGTGTGTGTGTGTGTGTGTGTTTAGCAAAACATTTTTAAAATTTCACTTGTGTAATATGTCTCCTATAGGAAACAAATTTGGCTTTGCAACTTCTGTAGCTCCAATACAATCTCAAAGGCAGCCTAGGGTTTCCCTGTTTCCCACTTAACAACACCTGAAGACATCTGTCTTCCCACCATAGTCTGCAGATTCTCTGGGCAGGTAAGGTCCGATAGTAAAGAGGGTAGCAGGTCTTGTTACTTTGACTTAACCAATACTTAATTAAAGAAATTAAAGAGAGGTTTCATTATTCTGCTTCGTAATATAGTTTCCAGAAGTCAGCTGTGATAAGAATCAGAGAAAATAGATGTTAACATTTTACTAACTCCTGCTTGGCATGGTGGCCTGTGACCAGTTTCAGCCCCTCATGGGCTGAGGCAGGAGGATCACTGTGTCCAGGAAGCGAGACCCTATCTCAAAAAGAGAAAGGACTAACTCCTAAAAAGCAGGAAGGTGAATGTAACCATTTATTATGATTTATTGTCATTTTAAAAAATCAGACCATGAAACCAGGTAGAAGTAAGCGTGAAAAGTTTGCAAAACAAAACATTTAAACATACTTATTTAGACAAGTGATCTGAAATTAGAGACTTTTCAAACATTTCTCCATGGCAACTGGAGTAAGCCTCCTAAATCTGGCTTTGCTGTGGATTCTGTCTTCTATGTTATCTTCTTTTGCCTTTGCCCTTCAGCTCTTGGGTTAAGATGGCTCTGTGGGCTGTGGTGGTGCGTGCTTCTAATCCCAGTTTGGGAGGCTGAGGCAGGAGGATCTCGAGTTCAAAGCCAGCCTCAGCAAGTTGCGAGGTGCTAAGCAACTCAGTGAGACCCTGTCTCTAAATACAAAATAGGGCTGGGGATGTGGCTCAGTGGTCAAGTGCCCCTGGATTCAATCCCTAGCACCAAAACAAACAAGAGGGCTGTGGATGTCTCCTTCAAGCTCCAGAGCTGCATTATTCCTTTTATCAGGAAGAATTCCCTTTCACATAGTTCTTCCCCATGGCTATGGCTGTCCAACTAGACTCTAGATGGACTTGAAACATTGTCGTCTTGCGCACACCTGACTGCAGACATTCCTGCATCCAGCTCTCTGAACCAGCCGAGCCTCACGAATGGGTTCTTGGTTAGTAAGAGGACTGCTAAGCTCCTTCTCCAGCTCTGTGCACAGGCTCTCCATGATTCTTCCATGTCCATGTTTCGGGGTCACAGCTCCACTCTGCATCCTGCTTACCAGATAGACCGGAGCGCTGTTTCCCCTCAGGTGCTGGGCCACGCCGGTGGCATCTCTAATTCCCACCCAGGGGGTGCTCCAGTGAGAGCAGCTGAGGCACAGTCTGGACGGGTCTGGGATGGAGGCGTGGTTCCGTGGCACAGCACAGACTTAGCATGCACCACGCCCTGGGTTGGATCCCCAGCATCAAACAAATCAGAACCTCCGGGTAAGTTGCCAGACAGGCTGGAAGGAGTCGGAGGAGCTAAAAACATGCTCCATCCATGACCTTTACTGCAAGAGCCCTCGATGTGCATACTTTGTTCCCCTCTTGTCCACGGGGAGGTTTCTGAGACCGCAAGTGCACACCTGAAACTGTGGACACCATCGACTCCTGCAGTTTTCCTTGACTCAGCACGTCGATGCACCATGGCCAGGACTTGCAGTTTGAGGTGTGACAGAAAAACTAACCTGATCTTTTTTCCCCTTTTATCACAACTTCATGGATAGAAGATTCTTATGGTAGATCTTAACAACTCCAGCATATGATTTTTTACTTTCCTTATAAGTCAAGAACTTTCATTTTTTTTCACTTAAAGAAAGAACTTTGAAGCTTCTTTTCAGTATATCTGCATTGCCAGCATCACTACTTTTTTTTTTTTTTTTTTTTTTTTGCTGGTGGAGCTGGAACCCAGGACCTCATGCATGGTAGGCAAGTGCTGTAAAACTGAGCTTCACCCCAGGCCCAGCATTACTACTCTTGTTCTTTGGAGTTACTGCAAAGTAAAATAAGGTTTACCTGAATGTAAGCACTACAATACCTTAACAGTGATACCTTGACACTGAGATGGCTAGTAAATGACTAAAAGGCAGGTAGCATATACAGGGTGGATACACTGAACAAAGGCATGATTCACATCTCGGGTGGGACAGAGTGGGATGGCAAGAGATTTTATCATGCTACTCAGAATGGCATCCAATTTAAAACTTATGACGTTTATTTCTGGAATTTTCCATTTAATACTTTCAAAGCATAGTTGAGCACAGGTAACAAACTGCTGCAAGTGAAACCACAGATAAGCGGAGTCTACGGCATTTGTAATCGTTTGGCATCCTAGGACTTCAGTCAGTCAGATAATTGTGGAATGCATCGTGTCTGGGGGTCCATGGAGTCACCTAAATGAGAAATTTTCAGCCAGGGGCAATTCTGTCCCTCAGGTGACACTTTCCTGGGTCTGGACATTTTCATCATTACAACTGGGAAATGCTACCGGCCCCTGGTGCACAGGGGTCAGGGATGCTGCTTCATGTCCTTCAACTCACAGGACATTTCCCAGAGCAAAGAATTACTGGACCCCCAATGTCAAAACCAACAGTGCCACGTGGAGGGACAGCGGTTTAGAGTTTTCAGGTTTTTGACCAACATGTTGTTACAGTTAATCACAGATACATGCTTGTAGGAATGTACCAAGAATCCATAAACCCGGAGGTGGCATTTCTTAATGTTTTAATATAATAGGAGTCTTAAAAAAAAAAAAGGAATAGAAAAGGAAGTAGCCTTGCCGGGAGGGGCTGATGGAGTGTGTGAGCTTGGTCCTGGAAAGTGGGGTTTTCTGCGTCATCCCACCAGGGCAGGGCTGAAGTGGGGTGTGGACTCCGCCCTGGAGGGGCAGGACCACCTGGATGATGCTCCCGGGAAGGACAGCTCCCTGGAGAATCCAGCTCCTGCAGGGATCTTCTCTATCTTTGTCTGGATTAGGGCATCCCTTGGGCTCTGGATGACCGTCAGGGAGTCCAGAGGAAGGAGAGCAGAGAGCAGGGGTGACCTCCCGTGTGTGGCCTGCCGAGCTCTGGAGTTGCCTGAGATGTAGGAAGACCAGTGACTGCAAACAGCCTGTGGGGATGGAGGGAAGAGGGGTGTGGGGTGGGTGACGTCACCTGGATTCCTCCCAGTCTGACCCCTGTGAGGCTCCAATCCCAGGATGAAACACGAGCCAGGTGTGCCCAGGGTCCCCAGGCAGGCAGACTCATCCTGCTACCCAGGCATCCCATGGTATCACCTGCCACCCAGAAAGCCATCCGTGTTCTCCATAGGAGTCCAATGACCATGTTGTAGGGTGACGTCACTAATCCAA